CCTATCACCTTTCTTGAAAATTGGAAGCAGAATTGCTTCGCTCCAATCATCTGGTAATATTTTTTTCCATACTAGAGCATATTTGTTGAAAGTGCGTTATTATGAAGATGGACAACATTTGAAGAGTTCAACTCGAAGACCGTCTTCTCCCGGAGTCTTATTAGCCTTAAGCTTATGGATAATGAAGATTATTTCTTCTTCTGTTGGAGACTCGTAATTGCAAACGTATGGTTCGGCGAACGTATACGCTACATCAAAGGCAACAGATGGCGCTTCATGGTTAAATTTGATCTTAAAGAATTCTTTCCATCTTATGAAGCGGTCCTTAATACTCTTGATCGGCAGACCATTGCTGTCCCTTACCATTTCACTGATTGTCCCCCAAGTCATGGTTACTGTAGCAAAAAAATATAACTTCTATTATATTATCGTTCGATATGTACCTCAAACTTGGGTAATTAAGCCTTCTTTTATATAATAATATAATAATAAAAGGAAAATTGAGCGACGATATACTAAGTTACAATAAATTACAAAACGACATAAACAAAAAACTCAACTAAATAATTACATTAAATATCTTAATAAAGTTGTTAGCCTATCCTCAGTCCACCGTTATCTCTCAATAAAATCGAACAATAATTTGTATCCCAAAAAGGAATAGAACCGACACAAAATTGCGGTCGCAGCCACCCTTTTGTTGGCCTTTAAACAATTCTGTTCACTTTTGAGCATAGTTGCTTTATGATGAAGACGGAATAGCGTCCTATTATCGCCTATTGAGCCGTTGTCTCCATTCTCAAAGCCATGTCAATCCAATATTGATTTGTATTCCGCCGTGCTGCTTTCGTTGCAAATCTTCGAAGCACTCGATAGTCAGGATTTCCTGATATTCGGGCTTTGGCAGCTTTTTCACACAGTTGGACAATTGCTTCCAATACTCAACCAGAGCACTCTACTATGCCCTAACGTGGAAGTAGCCAACTTCCTTTATACTGCCAAAAAAGAAGAAAAGGCCCACTCCTACACAACGTTCTCCCAGGAAAAAAAGGAGCGCAAAAATTTGCTATCGAGCGCGCCATGAGAAATTTTATTTTTATAAGCAATGATTCATAGTTTCGAGAAAATTCTCGACAATATTTGTAAATTACCGAGTTCATCGTAATGGCACTTACGCACGCATTCCAGTCTTCTCCGATTATAGCCATATCATGTTTCGGTAGACTTTATTAGCAGTTGAAGTTTTGCATGGTACTTATCTTTATCACGATCATCTGCCGACAGAGTTGGAGCATAGAAACTATGACCAAGATATTGCAAAACTTAACTTTAAATCATGGTATATGGTCGCTTACCGGTTTCCACTCAATCAAAGCGGAATGGGCCTTATCAGACATGGCAATCGCTACGCCATTCCCGAGTTATCCGAAGCACCATAGTGGTGCAGCCAGTACTTCTCGGAGCCATGATAAGTAATTACTCGAGACCCGAAGTGAGGAAAATAGACCTCCGACAGGCGATATCCATACGGTATTTAGAAAAAGTGTGGACAGTGGCCGCTTGACTTGTAACATCCATAAGCGTTCTGATGTTCCACGCTGATACGTATCTAATACCTCGGCCGCTCGTGCAGACAGCTGTTCCCTCTGATAGGTTTCGAGCAACTACCCTGTCTTGAGACCGCATTTTATTTATCCTGGGATCGCTTTACATCCGTATATTTATCGCATGTATCACCGGACTAGGAGTATCATGCGCGTCGAGAAACGCGGACGCCGTATGAAGAATATCTGACTCTCACCATAGAATAACTTGGGGATAGAGTTATAGATGGATCCCCAGCAACCACCCGGATTTTTGACATGGCAGGTTTACTCCTGTCAAAGATAGATATAAATATTTTGCAATATTATTTATTTTATAATATTATTATAAATTATATAAATGTTTGTATCAATTTTTTGTTTTTATATATAGAAGAGAAGAGAAAAAAAAGAGAAAAAAGAAAGAAAAAACTTAACTCGTAACTTAATTTAACTTAACTATAATTCGTAGTTTCATGGAAATTCTAAAAAAAATATTCCGAAAAAAAATTACAGCGGAATAATAAAGCTCAGCTGCACTACTCACATACGTTTTGAAAAAAAATCAAAAACTAGGTAGGAGTAATAGGTTACTCAAAGAGAGGTCGAAAGTTTTTATATATTGATAACCCTTTCAGTTTTGTTTTCAAACGACCGAACAATGAAATTTAGTAGTGCTGAGGATTTCTTTACCATGGTTCTACAATGAAGCTCGAAATCAAGATTTCCATCCACATTATACCAAGATTTGAGATATTCCAGACTGCCTGATTATGTTACAATTTATAGATTAGAAAGATTGCGGCCTTTCGAATTTATATGTAATACGCTACATTATTGAATAGAAAGGGTAATTTGCCTGTCATATAATCATTTGGCAATTCTATTAGCGTCATCTTATAGCTGGAACAGGTTATCCAATCTACCATAATAATAAACAAATGAAGAAAAGACATTGACATAAAGATAAATGGTAGAATTTAATACAAATTTGGTAATACCATTAACTCTACTTGGCCGCACATTCTAAGCCCTTGTAGTTTAACCCCAAAAGATAGATGAAGCCAAAAAATTTCGCATCGTTCTGAACCATTTGCGAGGCTGAATCAACTCCACTATTTCAAGACTTCTGATCACATAGTTCTTTACATTAAGACATTGGTTACGAGTAAACATTCTCTTTGCAGTTATTTTTCTAATATTATTTCCATTTTGGTTATCTTTTCGCAAAATATTTCCACGTGGCACAACAGAGCGTACATTCCTTTTACGCAAAACAGGCATGGTCATTATCGCGAAACGGCAAAAGCAAAAAGGCAATTTGGGGTTGGCCTGATTCCATTCTTTTTGGGCTACTCTCGCGGAATCATTTTTGCTGATTCGCTATTTCGACATGCCACTTAATCACCACTCCAAACTCATGAAAAACGGCCTGTCAACTTTCTCTTCATTGATCCTAATTGTTCCCGACAGTAAATAATTAGTTGACAAGGTAAAGTAACTGGTGCACTATGTTATCAAGTTTGCTTTTATCGCGTAACCTTTATTATGACCGAATTTGATTATATTGCCTGGTTTTAAAGATGTTGGCAAGTTTATTCGAAAATAATGTGCCATTCAGTGACAAATCTATCAAAATGTATAGTTGTTTTCCATTCACTTTCTTATCTATTATTATATGTTTTCTTGAAATTATATCATTGTTTAGACAGATATAAGTATCGAATCCATTTAATCATCCCTGTCTTCCCGATAGTAATATAAATTTTTCCTGTGCCACATAAAATATTTATACCTAAAATATATAAAATATTTATCCGTCTGTGGTAATAAATAAGGAACAATCTGGCAACGGGGTTTTTATTATGAAAAATGGCGAAACATCAGAAGGCGGCATTTTGACCATAAAATTTGGAAATTGGCTAATAAAGAGTCGCAAAAAATGAAGGATTCGAACCAGCAGTTGTTTTGATTGTCAACAAATTAATAAGAGATTCGTTACAAAATAAAATATTTCACACGCTAAATTAAAAAAAGCGAATGGAATCCTGCTTAATCAAGATAGTCAAAAAAACATGAAAAAATTATTGTGAAAATTTGTAATTAGTAAGCTGACTCACAGCAATTATTTGAGGAATTTATTTTTTTTATTCGCGATTTGCGACAAATTCGCGACATTTATACCGATCAATCAAGGATCAATAAAGAGGTTGACAAGGCAGTCTTCATGAGTCTGGGTGATGTGTCACAGTAGTAGATGCCAAAATAGTGAATCAGCAAAAAAGATTCAAATATACATGAAGAAAAGCAAAAAGGACCAATGAAGCACGAATAGATACAGAAAGATGATCAATGATGTCGACAAATGGCACAATGAATGATATAAAAGTAGCACAGCAGAGCATAAGAAAAACAAGCCGATCCTGAAATAGCCTTTTTGCTTTCGCCGTTTTGCAACAGCCACATACTTTTTCTTCTAGTCGAACTTTGAGTACCTGCAGCCTGAATGAACTTTTCTTTCTATGCCGACGAAATTTCCTTAATATAACCAATATTGGATTCCAGTTTAAGTATCCCCTTTCATCTTTATAAGTGCCCGGTGCAAGGCGTAAAAACAAAATACTTTTGAAAATGATTCATTTTAGACAAAACGATATAACGGATAATGTATTCCTTTTAGAGAAGTACAATATAAATACCAATTTTTTAAAGAGAAGAAATAATCGATACAACCGCTTACCAGAAAAATAATTCTTTTAAATAAAAAAAATAAGAAGTATTGAGTACCAGCATCTTGCCAATCTTCATTGATCATCGTCCAATACCTCTAAAGAGACTACTAAGTTTCTGATTGCTGGTCTTTTATTGGCCAGTCGTAGAAATCGATTGTACCACCATCAGAATCTTCAATCAGTTCAATAATTCTTCCTAGTCTCCTCTTGGCATTGCTTCATTCCAAATGACAACTCTTTTTTTGATTGCTAAAATGTCATCGATATTTGTTCATGCATAAACATTACCGCATTCTAATAAGCTTTGCAAGTATCGCTTTCCACAGTTCGCAGAAATAATCCAAAATTTTCGTGTCTTTTAACCAGTTCCGAACTCTTCTCTGCGCAAATTTCGTGTTGATTCGAGGTTCTTGTGAATATATTTTCGAGTTGAGGCATCCATGGTGTTCGCTGTTATAACATAAATATTCGAGATTATTTCCTGTACAATAATACAATAATCGTTTCTCGATATATGCAAAATATATAAGGACTGCACTTAAATGTTGAATAATATGGTTTCCTTTAAATTCTAGCAGTTTGATCGTCATAATTTCACTCCTCTCTACATAACATCAGTATATATTAGCATATATTAGTAGTGTAATATTACTGACTTTGGTTATTCATGCAGTTATACTGGTATTTAAGTGTACTTTTCTTTTTTTACATAAACATCATCCATGACAGTGGAAACATTTTGGCAACCATTTTGATTGGTTCGTTGTATATTTCTCCGCTTAAGATTTAAAACTCCTGTCATCTTTCCGATACTCTCACTATATGTTTTAACTCTTTCGCATTTATCGTTTCCATGTGATTCGGCACAGAAAGCACATTTCTTTGGTCTATTATTTGCAAAAGTCTCCACATTTAAGCCTTGAATTTTTGAGAACGCCATATTTCTTTTAATTTGATCATCGTTTTTAGGCGCATAACTTTGACGTCTCAGATGATCGTGAGCTTCACCTCGTTTTCGTAATAAAAAAACAGGTTCTTGAATTTGATATTTTTTGTTCAGTAAGAGATGATATCGATCTTCTTTAGACCATATCATTTCTCTAGCGCTTTTAAGGCTGCAATTATCTTTGGCCATCGCATAAAGCCAAACTTCCACTCTTCCCTTCCCTTTATGTTCCCAATAAAGAATAATATTTTTGAATATCGGATTTTCATTTGAACACCATTATTTTGAATGATGAAATAAATAATTCCCATTTATTGGTATCTCTATTAAATTCATATAGAGATATCTGCAGTAAATAAGATATCCCTGCAGTCTACTGATTTTCACCAGGCTAAATTGGATTTCGCTATTATTGCGTCGCTCCTTCGAATTTTCCTGTTTCGAGTCTATTCCCATAATTGTTACTTGAATAAACTCGTAAAACCATTCAAATATTTCTTCTATATTGTTCCAAAAATTTTTTTTGGATTGAATCTCCTTTAGCCCTTTGTATTATTTGATTTGATTAATTCATTCATTTGTCGAATGAACCCAACTTTTTCATCTCTCCTTACACCAATCCTCAGATTAAGCCATTTCATTTTTCCTTTCACATTGGTGAGCAAAGAAAACGTGCCGTTCTTTCAAATTAATGACGCAGTCGTCGATTTCCTTCTGCTTCAATTTAATATTTTTTCCTAAATCACATCGACCATTTTTAAAAAAACAAATTGTATTGTAGCGTAATCAATAAAAAAAAATAAATATAAATAAATAAATATATATATACATACATAACCTAACGTATATCGTTTATATTCATTTCGTCGTATTGTTTTCTTGATTTGTCAATGACTAAGCTCCCATGTAACCAAAATGCGGCATATGTTTCGTTTCATTTCTGTCAAAAAATTTCACAAAAATATCATATCTTACATTCGTCATCATACGCCTTCAACTTGAGTAATTAGACCTTTAATAGTAACACACGTGAAAAAGATATAGTAACGTGAAAATATACGTGAACACAAAAAAGCAAAAGAAATCGTTATCGTATTATAAATGAGTTAGAGAAAAGAATATAATACAAATAAATAAAATCGAAAAATATATAAAAATTACGCTAAGTATACTGCTTAGATATCGTAAACCCCTTCATATTGTTACATCGACGAGAGACCGTTGAGAAATCTCGCGATCATTAAATTAGCGCTCTTTCTGTTCCACTCGCCCATGGGCATTTCGCTGATATATTAACCTGTTATTTTACTAAATTTCTAATGAACATTTTATATAAAAACTGGCAAAAAAAAGTCGTCCTATGGAAAGTAAGGAAATGGAGGAACTGCCTTCACCTAGCGTATCTAGCGTACTACACCATAGCTTAAAAGTTACCATATATCTTTAACGCCCCAAGGCCTATGTATTGATTATTATTTTTCATAAACACTAAATACCCACATCACTTCCAAAGAATGTCGCAATATCTGCCACAATCTTTCGTTATCACCAGTTATCATCATCACCTTTAGCAATTTTCTAATATATAATTGCGGCCGCGGCAGAACTTCGCAAGGCCGCTAGCATAAAATGGTTATACTGTGTCTAAGATAGTTAAAGTGATCACTCATTGTTCATGATGTTCCGCATTGATCAGCAAGAGATCAGCGAGACTTGGGTACCATAGTGTAACGTGGTAGGCTTAGCATATTCTGATGGAATTAACCGAGTGCAATGAATAGCTTAATGCAGTTTAAGGAAAGATTACCGTCTTGTTCTAACAAAAAGTTACAAAAAAAGTTCTACATGATGTTAAAAAGGATGAAGAGGATTTAAATTTGAAATATTACAATAGGTCTAAGAAAATTTTCAAAGTATTGTAAGCGGTTGAAGTGGTAAGAGATTACAACGCTTAATGTAACACCACTGATGAGGTAAGGCAGGTGAAATAGCGTAGCATAAAAAAATAATCTATTCTTTTGAAAATTCTTTATACTGTAAATCACCATTATTATTATATTATTATTAATTATTATTTATTATTAACTATTATCATTATTAATTATCACTATTATTATTAAATATTATTATTATTAATTATTATTATTTTTTAAGAGTCTTCACCATTACTGGTTAAGTTCCCTTCACTGGTTTGTCACATTGAGCAATATGCCAGGGAGTGGCTTATTTATTAATATTAATTATTATTATTACTACTATTATTATTCCATCATTTTTATTTCAGTATGGTTTCTAATAAATTTTGCCCATCTAGCTTAGATCCACGTATAATACAATCTTTCTTATAATGAAGCGAACCATTTTAACGAATTTTTTGGATCATTTGAAATATAGCAAATCTTTTGTTTCTATCATATGTGTGTTGTTTATTAAAATAATAGAAATGTTCAACACATGAATTCTTGTTCATTTTAAAAATTTAACGATTGATAAGATGAACAGTTTACTGCGAAACAGCCTTCAACAAATAGCACTTTTTGATGAAATTATGAAAAATGAATTTTGTTATAAAGTTTTTGACCATAAAAAAATATGCAAATTTTAAGAAAATTTATTTAGGCTAAAAAGTATCGCAAAAAATCTTATCAATGATGAATTCCTTAAAATTAAATTATAGTTTAGAGAAAGCAATATGAATTTAGCATAATAAATTTATGACAATACATGAAATAATAAATAACAATAATGATTATAAAATATTTAGTAACAACGATAAATAATTAAGCTCATATGAGATTGAAAAGGAATTTCTTCTTAAAAAATACGAATAATGAATAATTTTTTATGATTGCTTTACCTCTTCAAATCAAAGTTTTTAGCTATTTTTGCAACAAAATGATTTCATAAATGCGTAAGTACAACCAATTTCGCAGCATTCTTTTGTTAACGATGCTCGTTTTCTAATATAACGGATATTTGTGAGAAATTTTATTGGCAATCTTGCTATAGAATCTGAAAATTATTATTTTATATTTTATGAAATAATTTTAAAAAAATTAATAATTATTAAATTGAGATTAAATTGAATTATTTAAAAATAATTTAAAAATAATTTAAATAATTTAAAAAGTAAATACGAAACAAATATAAATAGGAAAAAGATACATATTATATTATGAAAAATTCGTTCAGAAATATTTTCGTAGATTTTTACCATTTTAGTTTTGAAATGAAATATTCATTTGTTTTAGATTAATATCGATGAAATAAACGTAGAAATCGATGCAAAAAACAAATAAATAAATATTATATTATATATATATATATTAGAAAAAAGAAATTCGCATAAAAATTCCATGATAAATCCCAATGATTTTAGATCGAAAATTTATGCCTTCCAGCTGAATCAATTAATCATAGAATACAAAATGAATGAACACTTTGGAATTGCCAATTGGAAGTAGTAGAATACATACCTAATGATACCAAAACAAATTCAAAAATACCCGAAATTTTATAAATTTTATATTTTTTTCCACTTCATTTGCATAGGGAAAAGATTTTTCAATTTTGAAATTCGAGAACAATCACTTAGAATCAGTGAATAGCCAAATTTTACAAATGAGCACCAAGGAACCACAGACCCACGCTTGTCGTAAACGCATCGATTACCGAATATATCTCAAGGAAAAAAATATCATAGTTTTAAGAAGGAATCCCGTTTTTCACTTGTAAAAAAATCGTTTAAATACTTATAGGAAATGACTTATAAATATTATTTTTAAGTTTTATTATTTGCACGGAAAATTGGCAATGATTCTTCGCTAATAATTATTTATAATTTTTATAAAAATAAATTCCGAGAAAAAAAACCCTTAAATAATTACTATATTCAATCAAAAATGATAAACAATGTATTTCCATCTTTTCATTGATGAAAATAAATGAAAGCTTATGCTGTTCTCATATTGTTAGATTGTTAAAGAAAATTTATAAAAATTCAAAAAATAAAATGAAATAAAAATTTTATATAAAACATAGGCAAATTCTCGATATTTGGTGGATTCATTTCCATTAACTCATTTCCATTAACTCATTTACAGTATAGTACCACTTTGAAGTAATTAATTGCTCTTAATTTTTCAAGATAAGTCTTAAACTCATTAACAAATCTGTATATATCTAATAACTTCATTAGAAACTAGAAAAGAAAAAAAAACTTGTGAGATATATCGCCCGTTTTTTGAAAAGACTACACCTAATTCAAATTATGGTCCAAATTAGTGGTCGTAAAACTGATCCTGAAAATCACCTATGGCTCATAATGACTCACAGAAGATCCGTAGGAGCTCAGTTTAAATCATCTATTAATATTTTCTTTGAATGGTATTATTTTAAAGATTGTTTTAAGCAATTTATTATATTATATTATGAAATTCTTAAGTGGAAAAATAAAATTTAATAAAAATTTTACGATTTAAAATTATTATTAACATTGGGGGATCTACTTGTGGGGGTTTCATAGAAAAAAAAACAAACTAATAAAAATTGTATTTTTTTCACATGGAAACATTCAAACTAAATCGAATGAAACTACCATTATTTTATTTAAAAATATAATTTTTCTTCGGATCACTAAAAAAGAAATTTTAAAAATTTTTCAAGGACATTTGCGATATATTATTTTCGCGCTAAAATAAATGAAAAATTTTCTCGAATCGATCAAAGATGATTTTAACTGCAAAAATAAACTTTGAAAACTTTAATTAAAAATTTTATAATTGATGGCGACTAACTAAATTTTTTTAAATCGTTTTTAAAGGATACAATAAGTTCATCTCATTTGTTTCACTTATAATATTAATAATATTAATATATTAATAATACATATAAAAAATACTTTAACGATATTTATAATGTATTTTAGTAGATGAGAGCGGAATTCATTATTATATTTAATATTATTAATATTATTATTTATATTTTTATTATTATAAGTATTATTATTAATATTATTATTGTTATTATTTTTAATATTACTATTGCTATTATTATTAATATTTTTATTATTAATATCTTGTTTTGATAAAACTAATTAAAACACATACCCAGTTGAAATTTGTCGACGTTTCGCTTGAATGTCGATCCAT